CACACACACACACACACACACACACACACACACACACACACACACACTGAGACCTGAGGCCCTCGGTGCTGTCAAGGGCATGTTCATCCTCAGTCAAAGACTGAACTGAAGCCCGTGTTTGGGACAAGCTGAGTCAGGACAGGATCGGCTGGGCAGTAATCAGGAAGAAGTAGGAGTTGGGGGTGCCATGAAGAACCTGCTCTCCCAGTTGCTGGTCAGCTGTCTCTCCCAAGCCTGTCTGAGCACGATTCCTGGCTGATAACACTAGGGAGAATTAACTTATTCACCTCTGTTTGTTGATGTGCCCCTTTGAGCTCAGTTTTCACAAAGGGGCATATCAACACACCCATAATTTGTCAATGAATGCCTTTACTTTCATCACCAGCAAGACATTTTTGTAAACCCACAAGCTACTTTGCAGTTCTCAAGAGTTGCTTCTCTTCAATTGGGGAGGACACGGCTCAGCCCTGGAAATGAGTCCAGATTCTCGTGGTGGCCCATAAACACTGCTGTTCCTCCCACCTAGGAAACCCGCAGACCTGCAGAACCTGGCTCCCGGAACAAACCCTCCTTTTATGACTTTTGATGGTGAAGTCAAGACGGATGTGAATAAAATCGAGGAGTTCTTAGAGGAGAAATTAGCTCCCCCGTGGTAGGCGTCAGAAAACCCATGTTCATAACTTGATTGTCACTTCCCCGCTAACAGCCAGTTCTAAAGCTCTGGGCAGTGTGTGTGTGTGTGTGTGTGTGTGTGTGTGTGTGTGTGTGTCTGGGCAGTGTGTGTGTGTGTGTTGGGGGGGGGGTTTCTGCAGCCCATGGCACTGCCTGGACTTCATTGCGCTGCACCTGCAGCTAGGCAATCAGGGTTTGATGGCAGGAAGTAGGAGGAGATGGGTCCAGGGTGGGTGGCTGGCTATATCCTCAACGCCCTGCTGGAAGCTCTGGGTATGTGTTAGGTCGAAGTATCATGGATTGTTGGACCTCAGGGGAAACATTTCCAGTCCATCCTTTTCATTTTACCAGGAGGACCTGAGGCCAGCAAGGCCAGGTGGGACCCTATGTCCCACGACTGGCCACTGCCAGGAAGCAACCGCAACAACAACCAAAACCCTCCCAGTCCAACGCTGTTCTCCTGGATGGTGTCACTTCCCAACCCTCGGAGAAAAGGGTCAGCTTTTGACCCTTTTCATGGAAAGCTTTTCATGTTTATATCCACCCAGAGAAAGCTGTTTTTCTCCATAGTAGAGTATTATCTTAACTAAAACACCGTTTGTCTGTGATCCTCCAATTTTGAACTTTTCAAGGTATCCCAAGCTGGGGACCCAACATCCTGAATCTAACTCTGCAGGAAACGATGTGTTTGCCAAATTTTCCGCATTTATAAAAAACACGAAGAAGGATGCAAATGAGGGTGAGTACCTCTTATCCTCCTGTTTTCTGTTTCAGCATGGACCTTCACTCGAGCCTTAGCACAGCGACTCATGTGCTGCTGGGGTGCTCCAACCCATTTTCCAGCAGGTAGAAAAGTGAGTCTGGAGATGTGGAAAAACTGCCTCCAACTTTGAATTTGCATGTGGGCTTGGAATGCTGCTTCTGAGGCTGGGAACCCAGAAAACAATGTTTTTTAAAAAAATAGTCACCATGTGGTGTTCCGGCCGCACCACGGCAATTGTATTCAATGATTCTGCTAGTGCATGCCTCCTCACAGGCTTTCCATAAGTAGTTTTGAATAAATAAGTGACTTCTAGGAGTAGCAATGTTGGGTAGACAGCAGCATGATTTCCAGGGAGGAGTGAGTCCTTCATTCAGGTATTCTACATCCACATCCTGCCTTCCCAGCACCTGTTGCTGGCTGGCCACGTCTCAGCGAGGAAGGGAAGCAAACTCCTTCCATCATAGCTATTAAAATGTAATCTGGGGCTATTAAAATGTGAACTCACTGGTGACAAGTGACATGCACTTGCAAGGCCTCTCTTTGTGATTTGTCTTTCTGTTTTAGTTTATGAAAAGAACCTGCTGAAGGCCCTGAGGAAGCTCGATAATTTCTTAAATAGCCCTCTGCCTGATGAAATAGATGCCTACAGCACGGAGGATGTCGCTGTTTCTGGAAGGAAGTTTCTGGATGGGGATGAACTCACGCTGGCTGACTGCAACCTCTTACCCAAGCTCCATATTATTAAGGTTCGTCTTCCCTCCCCTGACAGGTGTGCCGAGTACATGAACGGGGCTCTGTTTTAACCTGTGTTTGGGCCAGTTGTTTAAACAGTCTGAAATGTGGAGACTTGGATTGAAAATGCTAGTTCATTTCTGTTCGGGGCAGCCAAGCCCCAGCTTTTACACACTTAGAAGATGGGCTTCGGGTGTTCTTGGGAGGTGTCTGAGAACGTGGCCCCACCTTCTGCTTCTCTCTCAGCCTGACTCACACAGCCTAAAGAGAGATTATGTGAAAGCAGCCTGAGGAATTTCATAGATTATACCTGGCATTAGCAATCGAGGATTGGAGATGAGGCGTGGAATCTGCGGCTATTAAAATGTGAACTCAGTCAACTGTTGGTGATTGTAGGGCTCCACATGGCCCTTTCCAGGGATGACAGAGGATTGTCCTGTTAGCTCTTAACAGTGACCCTTGGCCAGGTGCAGTGGCTCATGCCTGTAATCCCAATGATTTGGGAGGTTCAGGTGGGAGGATCGCTTGAGGCCAGGAGTTCAAGACCAGCCTGGACAACATAATGAGACTCCATCTATATACATACACATATGAAAATTAGCTGGGCATGATGGTGTGTGCCTGTAGTCCTGGCTACATGGGAGGCTGAGGCTGGAGGATCACTTGAACCCAGGAGTTTGAGGCTGCAGTGAGCTAAGAAGGTGCCACTTCACTCTGGCCTGGGTGACAGAGTGCGACCCCATCGGTAATTAAGTATTTATTTATTAAAAAAATTGACCCTCAACATCCAGGGAGCAGCTGGCAACTTTCGGCTAAGTCTCTACCGTATTTTGTTCCCTGCCTTCCCATATAGCAGCTGAACATGATTTAAGAGCCATGAATCACGTATTATTAGGGCTTAAAGACCTCCCAGACCCGTGGCTCTCCAATGTTAGTAGGCATACAAACTGGGGAGTTTTTTGTTTTTTTGAGACAGAGTCTTGCTCTGTTGCCAGGCTGGAGTGCAGTGGTGTGATCTCGGCTCACTGCAACCTCCACCTCCTGAATTCAATTGATTCTTCTGCCTCAGCCTCCTGAGTAGCTGGGACTACAGGTGTGTACCACCATACCCAGCTAATTTTTGCATTTTTGGTAGAGACGGGGTTTCACCATTTTGGCCAGGATGGTCTCGATCTCTTGACCTCCTGATCCACCCACCTCAGCCTACCAAAGTGCTGGGATTACAGACATGAGCCACTGTGCCTGGCCCTTTGGGGAGCTTTTTAGAAATGTGAGTCCCAGGTCCACTGCCTGCCCTAGTAAATCAGAGCTGCCGAGAGTGACCCCTGGAGGTCCAAGCAGATGTCCCCACACTTGGACTCCATAGTTGTTGCTGGTTCTCAGCACCGCAGGGCTCCCAGCCGCTCTATCACTTATAGAAGTCGAATGTGATTCTGATGATCAAGATTGCTATGTCCTTGGCCCTTAGCATCTCCAGATACCTCATGAAGAAGCCCATGCCTTGCCTCTGTCAGGCCAGAGCCAGGTTGTTGGTATAAGGGTAGGGGAGAGAAACACAGGGAAAAATAAGTCATGGACTGTGTGTTCTAATAACACATTTAGTTAGCATTTAGAAATTACACATTAGCGGCCAGGCACAGTGGCTCATGCCTGTAATCCTAGCACTTTGGGAGGCCAAGATGGGCAGATCACTTGAGGACAGGCATTTGAGACCAGCCTGACCAACATGGCGAAACCCCATATCTACAAAAAATTTTAAAAATTAGCCACATGTGGTGGTGTGTGCCTGTGGTCCATGTATTTGAGAGGCCGAGGCACAAGAATCACTTTAATCCAGGAGGTAGAGGTTGCACTGAGCTCTCACTCCAGCCTGGGCAATAGTGCAAGACTCTGTCAAAACAAACAAACCAACCAACCAACCAATAAATAAATTACATGTTAGCTTCACACAGTCTATGGCACTGAGGCTCCTGTGGACTCCCAGCCACCCCTGGTGACTCTGCTTCATTCTTTTGCCTTGTCTTCCTGCCTTTCTTATTTCTGTCCTCTTCCCCTCTCAGTCCTGGCCATGCTGCTCCCTTCTTCTCCCTTCCTTCTTGTGCTTGAGGATGCCGTCTTGAAATGCTGGCCTTCAGGAGGTTGCTGATTCCTTGGGGAGGTGTCTCTTCCGTAGCTTTGCCAGTCCACAGACATCCAAAATTGAATGAAATCACCTACACCTCTCAAAACCTGCTAAATTTGGGAGCTGCCTTCTAACAGGGTATTTACGCAGTTGTATTTTCATTGAGTCCCTTTTGGTAAATGCTTTTTAGTCCCTACTGTGACCAGCATAGTATTGCAGAAATACATGAAAGTTGAGGAATAGGGGAGAAATATCCCAGCCATAGACCATTCATGTCCCCTTGTTTGGCTCCAATAAGAAAAGATGATTTTAAATTTCAGTAGGAAGGGGAAGCTTTAGAGTGAGAGAAAGCAGTTCACGGCTCCTCTGTAAGACACAGCAGCAAAATCTACAAAGCCATTTAGCACTCAGAATACCCAACAGCTTAATGAGCTTCCAGGATGGAGTACTTCTGAAAGGAAATGAGAATCAATCTAAGGGAATTATGGTAAAAGCGCATGTGAAGGGATTTATAATTTATTCCCCTGCCTGAAACCCAGCAAAAACAATATAAAAATAGGGTATTTGCTTCATCTTTTGTAAAACTACAAAGGAAGACAGATCGCCAACTTAAAGAGTAGGAGGCTTCTTTTGGTGGGAGGAGCCACAGACCCATTACATGTTTCTTTGTATCTTTAGCAAAGTTTGGATTTCTCAAAAGGTAAAGAACACAGTCCTGAAATGCCCCACTCAAACTCCTTTGCTTGAGGACTAGAGCAGGAGGTGGGCCAGGAGGGAAACAGGGAACTTCCCTATAAAGACTGTTGTTGAACTGAGATCTCTAGGGAGGCAGAATTGAAGAAGGAGCCTACAGAGGTGCCATCAGTATAGGCTGTGACCCAGCCCCTGATCCAGAGGAACAGTCTCAAGGGGAGGTAAAGTGGGAGGAAGGAAGGGAAGTGGCATTTTGCATTGTGATTGCTGAGCAGAAGACAGAAACTAGGCCCAACCAATCAAGAGAGAGATTACAAATTGCCCAAGCTTCATTTTTAGCTATGGTGGCCTTCTGCTTAATCTGTAAGTCTCAGAGCAGAGGATGCCCTAACCCTAACCCTAACCCTAACCCTAACCCCAACCCTAACCCTAACCCCAACCCCAACCCCAACCACAACCCTAACCCTAACCCCAACCCCAACCCCAACCCTAACCCCAACCCTAACCCCAACCCCAACCCAACCCTAATCCTAACCCCAACTCGAATGTGTCTCTCTGGGGCACAGAAGTGGTTGGTGAGAAGGTGCTTGGGAGCAGATATTCCAGTTGGTTGGCCACCTGCCCCATCTCACTCCCTTTGCCCTCCCCACTGCTTTTCAGCAAATGTTAGGTCCAGTAGGCCTGCCTCATTCAAAGATGGCGAATACCAGGGAAAATGCCAGTGAGACCTCAGTGTAGATAGAGATGATTGACAAGGAGGGAGGGGGAGGAGGAATGATAAAGACAAGAAACGAAAACCAAAAAAAGGCAGACGGGAAATACATATATGATCAAGGACTGCTCCTCCAGCACATTAAAGCACATTCCAGACAGAAACTTTTCAACAGCCTCAAAGAAATGAAAGAGAATATGGGCTTTTTGAGAAAAAGCTCAAAGACAAGACACAAGATGTTGAAGAATATATTATCACGAAGGGGATGGAAATCAGGTTGGCAGAGCTCAAGAAGAAAAGTAAAGACAAATAAAAGAAGGGCAGAAATAGAGGTCCTGTTAGAAGTAGTAAGACACAGCCAAAGACATTGCTGAAATTGATTTCCTCTGACACTCACACACATCTTACAGAGAACCCTCCTTGTAGAGTTGGTTGCGGTCTGTGGTATGTGTTTGTGGCCTTGCTCTCAGTGATTTGGAAGATAGGCCTGAGAAAGTCATCTACAATGGAATGAAGAAGAATGGAAGAGATAAAGGTGATTAGAGAGATTTCAGATATACATAACCAGAAAGAGGAGAACAGAAAAGGAAAATGGGGGAAAAACTGGGAAGGTTTGAGGGGAAATTACTTTGAACTAAAGGATGACCTGAATCTTTAGTTTAAATGACATACGATGCTAAACATTGCCCCAGAAAGATCAACGCGCTGAGGCATACTTAATACATTACTGAGCTTTGAGAATAAAAAACAAGTCTTTTTGGCACCTAGACAATAATAATACCATAAAACAATAACAGTAATAATAATAATGAAAAGAATGAAATAAAGCCACTGAAACAGTGGACAAATTCAACTGACCCCAGATGTCTTCATGACCTCATTAAAAATCAGAAAATTGTGGTTTAACATCTACAGAGAATTAAGGGAAAGGATGTGTGAAGTAAGAATTTTATATCCAGGCAATTATTATTTTTACCTAGACCTCTGGTCTCTTTTTTAAAAAACATAAAATTTCTCTATCATGAAATAATAAAATCATGATCAAAGTAAGAATCCAGAAACAGAGAAAGTGTGTGATATAAAAGCGGATGCTAAACAGAGAACCTCTTTAAAGCTGAAACTAGTCCTAAGACCACATAGCAGTGGGAATTATAGGGACAGAATAGATTCAGAATATAAAACTAGATGTTGTTGTTACAACCATTGGAAGGAGGATAAGGGAGAAGAAATGGAAAGAAGTATAGGTACATACATTTCCTCATTTGTCATCATCAGGAATTCACAGGCAGCACCTAAAATTGATAAATCAAGGCCAGGGACCATGGTTCATGCCTGTAATCCCAGCAATTTGGGAGGCTGAGGCAGGTGGATCACTTGGGGCCAGGAGTTCGAGACCAGCCTGGCCAACATGGAAAAACCCTGTCTCTGCTAAAAAAACAAAAATTAGCTGGATGTGGTGGTGCATGCCTATAATCCTGGCTACTCGGGAGGCTGAGGCAGGAGAATCGCTTGAACTTGGGAGGTGGAGGTTGCAGTGAGTGGAGATCCTTCACCGTACTCCAGCCTGGGTTACAGAGCGAGACTATGTCTCAAAAAATAGAGAATCCTATTATTCAATCAAGAAATAGAGAATTCCTATTACTTAAGGCTATATAGGAAACCGCTGGAGAGTTAACATGGCCATAAACCTTCTAAATGACCAGAAACGGGAACACACACATGTACACAGAAGAAAGACAGAAAACCAAGTTCAGTGTCACATTCAGAGGCATGGCCTTGAAAATTTACCCAGGAAAGTTAACATAAAAAGACGGCCAAAGAAAAACTAGGTACCTACAAACAAAAGAAAAGCGGACTTCTTAATATAAGCATCAAGAAGTTTGCATTCAAGAAAGAGGCCTCAAATAATTTAGGAGGCTCTTTGTTAATTATATGGCCCTTGTTTGCTGTCACATTGCATCAATGACTGCTGGCCTCCGAAGTCTGTGCAGTAAGCCCCAAAGATCTTCTCGTTCGTGGTAAATTCCCCGCCCGAATCATGCAGACATCCCGGGGACCAGTGGGACCGGAGGCAGCAAAGCTGAACTGGCCTTTGTGGCTCTGGATCCCTACTTCAGGTTGAATTGTGCCCTCCTCCCAATTCCCATGTTGAGATCCTAATCCCCAATACCTCAGAATGTGACCTTATTTTACAATAGGGTCTTTGCAGAAGTAATTAGTTAAAATGAAGTCATCTTGGAGTGAGATGGACCTAATCCAGGGTGGCCTTCTTTGCTGTCACAATTCAGTAACAGCAAATAGAGTCAGAATATAACAAACTAGATGTAATTACAACCATTGGAAGGAGGATCAGGGAGAAGAAACATTTGTTTGTTATCCTTGCAAACAGGGGAAATTTGGGAACAGAGACATGGGGAGAAGGCCGTGTGGAGTTATGCTTGCACAGCCAAGGCACTGCCAGAAGCTGAGAGAGATCCTTCCCTAATGCCTTCAGAGGCTGCATGGACCTGCTGACACCCTGATCTTGGACTTCTGGCCCCTAGAACTAGGAGACAGTAGACTTCTGTTCTAAGCCACCCAGCATGCAGTGCTTTGTAATGGCAACTCTAGCAAACTGGTACAGTTTAGGGGTAAGGATTTGCATCTGCTTTGTTATCCTCCCTGCAGGGAGGCCCCGCAATCAGACAATGCTCTTAGTGGCAGCATGATGGCATTCAGGAAGAATAACATGCACAGAGGTTTGGGACTGGAGGAAGTGAGGTTCAGCAAGTAGGAAGAAGAGAGGGCACCATTTAAATGGCAGATCCACCATGCATCTTTATTCACATATCACCAAATAACACAGTAGCACAACATCTGGAAAGAAAATTGCAGGCAACACAAGGAGAAATCCACCAGAGTCCAGAGCATACTCGTGCCAGCAGATCCCAAGGCCTGTCTGTGACAAATTGGTGGGCAGAACTATGTGCAGCCACTGCCGTGAGTCCAGGACTTTTACAGCACTCCCCACAACCAAGGTGGCCCTATGCGAGTCAAAATGTCATGGTGGGTAGCCTGGATGACTGTAGGGTGACATAGGGAGCTGAGAAAGAATGTATTACATGGCTCGAAAGAATGGACCGTTTGATTTGGGAACCTGCCTGAGTAAGTTTTCCCTTTACTGATCATTTTCTCTTCATTTTCAGATTGTGGCCAAGAAGTACAGAGATTTTGAATTTCCTTCTGAAATGACTGGCATCTGGAGATACTTGAATAATGCTTATTCTAGAGATGAGTTCACAAATACGTGTCCAGCTGATCAAGAGATTGAACACGCATATTCAGATGTTGCAAAAAGAATGAAATGAAGCTGGGCTATTCTCTGTCTTATTTTTCAATTGAATGAGTGAGGATACAAAAAGAGTGTTTTCTGTGCATTTCCCCCAAATAAGTCCTTCACAAAATAACACCCGTAGTGGGACCCACTCAACCCTGAGTGATATATGGCCTTGTAATTTGTCAGCTCACTTGTGTATCTGAATATACTAGTATCTGTTGTTAGACACACCAGTTGTCCAGATTATGTTAATTTATATCTGTGACATTCACTGACATTGGAATCTATGATATTTAGGGCATGCAATTTTCATTTTAAGTTTTCATTTTAGTTTGATTTTCATTTCAAATTAGGTTTGGATTCAGTTCCTTCAATTTTTAAAAGAAACTGGTCTGTCTCTGAGAGTTTTTATAATCATTGGTAGCCTTTTTTTAAAAAATGAAAATACTGTTTTGTAATTACAAATGGAGATACACCTGTCTTAATATTTTAAAGCACTATCAGAGGGTATAAAGAAGGACATTTAAAAAATCACCTAAAATGTCATTCCTCTTAATGACTGATAACCTACTGGAGAACATCTTCCAAATCTTCATTATCTCATTTGTCCTCTCTCTCTCTCTCACAATTTCATTCATATATGGCATTGCGTTATTTTATTTTAAAGGACTTGCGAGGGGATCTTTTGGTAATGCCTTGATGATCATACACAGAGGACTTAAACCATGCAAAAAGATTGGTCACTGCAGTGCCAGAGAAAGTGCTTGAGGTTAGATTTCAAGGAGTGGGGAATTGTGGAGCCCACAGATGTGCATGCAAGGACCAGCAGGAACCGAAAGCCCTGGATCACCCCTGCCCTGCCTCACTTCCGCTCCAGGATGCCACTGCCTCTGCTGCCAGGAAAGGCAAGGAGGAGGGTGCTTATCAGTGCCTCTGGTTCCAGCTTCCCGTCCTTGCTCCCTCCCCTCTCTTGGAGATTGTGCCTTCAGCAGGACTCTTAATATCTGCTGCAACTTGGGGAACCTCCCTGCCCTGGAACGTGAACCAAGCATACCTTGGTTCCTTCTCCTGGCTGCTCTCTCTGAGACCCAGGGCTGGAGTCCCTCAGTGCTGATGGTATCGTGTGGGGCTAACGTGGTCACTGTTGCTTCTCTGCCCTTCATTGTCTCATCTAGACATCAGGCAGGGAAAATCCAGGGAGATTAAATTCATGGTGGCAAGTCCTGGGCAGTTCTGGCAAATGGTTCAGTTAGGGAGGAAGTAGAAACTATTGACTCAGAAGAGTTTCTAGCTGATCTGTGGCTTTGCCTCCACCATCCCTAACCAGCCTCTCATCACAGCTTTGTGTGTGGGCTGGGTGCTGGCCTTAACCCCAGGCGTGGAAGAGAAAATGTGAGGTCATTCAGATACTCATCAGGACCTCACATGAGCTGAGTCTTATTGCCCAGACTGTGTTCCTCTGACATTTGCACACATCTTACAGAAAACACTCCTTGTAGAGTTGGTTGTGGTATGTGTTTGATGCTATAAAGCTCCGTTTTAATGTGTACACCTGCTCTAGGGGTGATTCGTTTGAAAGAGAGTAAGACACATTAACAGAAACTATCCTGGGATTAGGTGAAAAAATGTCTAGCAAAAGAAACAAAGTCTGTAACAGAGTGGACTCTTTCTCTCCCCACTTGTGACTGCTGCAGTTTTACCCCAGCAACCGCTGTCTTTGTTAACGAGGTTTTTGGAGGTTAATTCCAGCATGTGTCACCCTGTCCACGTTGTTTCACATCTGGTTAGGGGTCAGATTTTAAAATGAAGTTTTGTAATGTTACATTTAAACATGGTAAATGATTAGACTCCCAGATATTACTAGTGCTAACTTTGTATTCGTAGACATTAAAATGATTGACATAAACACTTTGTGACTTCAAAATGAAACAAATTATAAAAATGTTTAAATGGAACCAAACTCTTTTAATTTTTTTTTTTCATTTTACATTCTCCATTCCCCATTTAGGTTTCCAGAAATAAAATGAATGATATGGACTTCCTTTAAAATGGTGAGGATGGGCCTGGCATGGTGGCTCACATCTGTAATCCCAGCAGTTTGGGATGCCAAGGGGGGTGGATCACCTGAGGTCAGGAGTTCAAGACCAGCCTGGCCAACATGGTGAAACCCTGTCTCTACTAAAAATACAAAAATTAGCTGGATGTGGTGGTGAGCACCTGTAGTCCCAACTACTAGGGAGGCTGAGGTGGGAGGATCGCTTGAGCCTGGGAGGTGGAAGTTGCAATGAGCTGAGATTGCACCACTGTACTCTAGCTTGGGTAACAGAGCAAGACCTTGTCTCAAAAATAAAAAAATAAAATAAAATAAAATAAAATAAAATGGCGAGAGCAAGTTTGAACCTGAGATTGTGGGCATTTGAATTAGAGATAATCAGTACTTCAGTTGTGAATCACAAAGACATTTTAAAGAGGCCTGAAAAGACACATGCAAATGATTCTTGTCCAGGTGACTGGCATAGGCACCCTGCAGGGTGTTCCACTTTTATGTGGAATTGTAGGAAAGGGCTTGTTCTGGGCGGCCTTTCCCAGCCCCACCCCAACTCTGCCTTCAGCTCCACCCCCAGCCCACACCCTTGATTCCCTAAAAAGCTTCATGTGTGTAAGGAGGTGAGAAACATTCCAGGGTTGTTCCGCTGGACCAAAATCTTCATTACAATGTGTTTTAAAAAACAAAATGCATTTGTTCTTCAAGACATAGCATACAAAATGCAAATATGGACAAACAGTGAACAAATTCTTCTTTTCAGGCTATGAGGAAATTTTTCTAGATGGAGAGGATTCCATTCTCTCTTCTAGTTGCCCAAGAGGCCCGAAAATTAGTTTATAAAGACCCAAACTTTACCTTTCTTTTTTTTCTTTTTAGATGGAGTCTTGCTGTGTTGCCTGGGTTGTAGTGCAGTGGTGCGATCTCGGCTCACTGCAACATCCACCTCCCAAGTTTAAGCAATCCTCCTGCCTCAGCCTCCTGAGTAGCTGGGATTACAGGTGTGTGTCACCACACTGGGCTATTTTTTGTGTTTTTAGTAGAGACAGGGTTTCACCGTGTTGCCCAGGCTAGTCTCAAACTTCTGAGCTCAAGCGATCCACCCACCTCACCTCCCAAAGTGCGGGGATTACAGATGTGAGCCACAGCATCCGGCATCCAAACTTCCCTTCTAAACATGGAATGTCCTAAAGCAGGCTGGAGAGGAACGTGAGAGCATCACAAGGTTCTACTTTGTGGATACTGCAGCAAACGGAAATGCAGTGACACAATCAGCCCAAAAGAAGACTGTCAAAAACCAGAGGTCTCAGTAATTTCCAGTCTATAAGTCTCTCTTTAGGAATTGAATATATGTTCAAGCGCTTCACCTCCAAGATAGGCAGACAGACACAAACATACAGCAGACACACTTACATGCATGTACATACACCATTGTCACAAACACACTCTCACATACCCACGAGCGTACTCCCACAGCCAGACATTCATGCACACCCTCCACCCACACCCAGCATGCAGGATGAGTTCCGTCCCCTCTCACCGCCCCCTGACCTGAGTTGTAAGCAGTAAGTCACTCTTAGCCCAACCCACCCAGCCCTCAAGTGCCCCCTTCCAGTGGTTCATAAGTAGGCTTTGGAAGAATTTTAGATGAATGGCTTTTTTTTTTTTTTTTTTTTTACTTTTGAAACAGGGTCTCACTCTGCCATCCAGGCTGGGTTGCAGTGGCATGATTTGGGCTCACTGCGTCTCTGCCTCCCGCCCCCAGTATCCCCTACCACAGGCTCAAGTGATCCTCCCACCTCAGACTTCCGAGTAACTGGGAATACAGATGCACACCACCACACCTAGGTATTTTTTTTTTTTTCTTATTTTTAGTAGAGACAGGGTCTCACCATGTTGCCCAGGCTGGTCCCAAACTCCTGAGCTCAAGCAATCCACCCACCGTGGCCTACCAAACTACTGGGATTACAAGCATGAGCCATCATATCCAGTAGACTTTTTTTTTAAAAAAAAACAAGAAAATCTCAGCCCTTCTTTTATTTTACAGTTAAGAGAACCAAGATATCCTTCCTTCTAGGCACACATAATTCACAAAACCCTAGGTCCGTGAAGTGGATGCATTGGGGGATGTTGTTCATACGACAAAATGACTCCTCTTTCATATAGTGGTGTAAGTCTAAATTATTCTATGTGGCCAGTTTCCCTGGAGACGTTGGTATTTTGGTTTAATAAGTTACATGCATTTCAGGGCATGGCCACTTTATAAGGGATGCATGTGGCCCCTGGTCACAAAGGGACTGACTACACTATTCCCCAGTGCTTTTGCAGGTCTGGGGCATCAGGAAGCCCTTTCTGTTTCTGTGATCTCAGGGATGCAGCAGGGGTGGCACCTGCCATTGCAGCTGGTGGATTGACGCAGTCATTGTTCCCATTGCAGAGGGTTCTGGTTGAATCCTCTATGAACCTTGCCTTGAAGGAGGCCATTTAGGCCAAGAGAGTCAACAGCTGCCTGGGGAAGTGGCAGGTCAAGTCATGGTCCAGAAGAAATTGTGTTCAGCAGCATGGAGCTGCATATTTGGGAGGAGGAAGCCATTGACTTAGGTTATAAGGCCTGGGTTGGGCCACCAATGGGATCTTATCCAACCTGCATCCATTTTACCCTTTTTCGGGACTGCCACAGTCTGTCTTACCCTAATGTTCTGGCTCTGGTCGCCCCTGGCTGTATAAACTTGTCCTCTGGAAGAGAGGAAGAGAACACTCTGGAAGAGAAACTATTTTTCTTGATGACACCTCCCTCTCCCATCTCTTCATTGATGCCCTTCTGTAGTGGATTCTGTGATGTAGTCCTGGGTAAGTGGATAAGGACAGAGGCCATTGGGAGCTGGCCTAACATTCGCCATGGTTCAGCTGATCTGCTGGGCTCTGTTCCCCTGCAGATGGCTCACACTTGCGAGTCTGAGTTAGGTCTGTTTCTGAAGCTCTGACCTACATATGTAACCAGCACCTGCTAAGACAGTGTGAGGCTCTTCAGATCTTCTGGATCTACCCAGGTTCTAGAAGAATTCTAGGGCCTGGAAAGAGAACCATCCTTGCTTAGAAAGTTTCTTGGTTTTGTTAAAGGGGATGTATTCAAATATCATCAAGATCTTTGCCTACTTGCTTTGTCCTTTCTGGCATTAAGATGTAATAAGTTCTTCTGGGTGCGGTGGCTCACGCCCATAATACCAACATTTTGGGAGGCTGAGTTAAGAGGATTGCTTGAACTCAAGAGTTGAGATCAGCCTGGGCAACATAGCGAGGCCTTGGCTCTACTAAAAATAAAAAACATTAGCTGGGTGGGGTGGTGCCTGCCTGTAGTCCCAGGTACTCAGGAGGCTGAGGCGGGAGGATTGTTGGAGCCTGGGAGATGGAGTCTGCAGTGAGCTGTGTTTGTGCCCCTGTATTCCAGCCTGGGTGACAGAGCGAGATCCTGTTAAAAAAAAAAAAAACCTGAAAAGTTACACATGTTACTGGACTTTTCCCCAGAATGATTTTTAAGGGTGTTCAAAAAGAAAAAAAAACAAAAAACAAAAAACAAAACAGCAAAATCCCCAGTAGTCATAAAGTCCTGAATCCACCCCAGGTATCTCTGACATATCTTTTTTTTCCCTTGAGAAACTCTCACTCTGTTGCCCAGGCTGGAGTGCAATGGCGTGATCTCAGCTCACTGCAACCTCTGCCTCTCAGGTTCAAGTGATTCTCCTGTCTCAGCCTCCCAAGTAGCTGGGATTACAGGCATGCACCACCACACCCGGCTAATACTGTATTTTTCATAGACACAGGGTTTCTCAATGTTGGCCTGGCTGGTCTTGAACTCCTGACCTCAGGTGATCTCCCCCGCCTCGGCCTCTCAAAGTCCTGAGATTACAGGTGTGAGCCACCGCGCCCAGCACGCCTCTGGCATATCTGAACGAGCATTTAACCTCTCAGCCTCATTCTTCTCATCTGGAAAATGGGAAGAACATCCCACAATCGTGTAGAAGGTGCTATCTTAGAAGTTCTCTATAAAGGCTAAAAAACAGCTGGCTGCATACAAATTAATTTTTCTGAAATTTGTTCTTAACAGCCCGGAAAAAAAAAAGTAATTTGTCGAAATGGACAGGGCTTGAGTTTATGAGTGTATAAGACCTTGAACCTTCCTCACAGAGGTGGAAAGCAGTTATGCTCTGAATTCCTGGTTCCCTACAACAAGGCAGCACCCCTGTGATATCGGTCACGGCTCAGTTGTGCTCTTCGGCTGGTCACCAGGGACTGCCCGGGCTGGCCTAGCTGTCTGTCAGGCACATTGTGAACTGGATGGCCGCCACAGTGGGCTGACGGCTCTATCCGGGGCCCCTCTTGTCTGGCTTGGAGACACTATTTTCAATTGTGTGATATTTACTTGAGGCCCTGAGGGGTGGAAACACAGATCAATCAATGTGGGTGGTCTAATGCCAGAGCCCTTCCCCACCGGGGCCAGGCCCTCCTCATCACCACTAGGTGGCGCTTCCTCCCATTCCCTGAAGCCAGATGGACCACACCTTGACAGGTACCAGCTGGGTTGACCCCCATGGACTGAGGCCCACACAGCCTTGGGACTTCATCCAAACCTAGCCCAGGCCTCTGGGTGTCAGCTCAAGGTGGCCCTTGCATCAAAAGGTGACCTTTCCAGGCCAGAGAAGTCAAGTGTGAAATGACCCTGCTGGTCTCAGCCCCGGCTTCCAGGACTGCCATACCCAAATGGTCAGGCTGTGTTTTCTGATGTGCTAAAGAATGCCTGCGGGGGGGGGGGGGGGGGCGTTCCCCTCTGTCCTGTGGTTTTCTGTTTTGCCATAGAAATACCTTCAAGGACAAGAAGGCCCTTGTCAGGCCTAACTTGAACACAACTCGCTCTTGGT